ATATATATACACACACACACACACATATATATATATATGTATATGTATATATATATATACAGAACATAGCACTCAGTACTTACAATGACCTACTTTCTTATCGCCATTCAGTGTATAGAGGAACTCAATCGTTGCTTTGATTTTGCTGAGAGAGCCGTCCCGTTTCTCGTTCCCGCCAAAACTCATGCGCCAATCATATCCCACCATCCCAAGACTGCCGTTGTCATAGCCTACGGCCACGAGATTGTCAATCACCTGCAATCAGATCAGCATTCAACACACAGCAACACACAGCTTAGACACGTGTTACTGCTGAATAGCATGTGATTGGAAGATATAAATAGATCAACACACAGCTTAGACACGTGTTACCGCTGAGTAGCATGTGATTGGAAGATATAAAAAGATCAACACATAGCATAGACAGCTGATACTGCTGAGCAGCATATGATTGGAAGTTATAAATATATCAACACACAGCAGCGCAGAGATTATATCCATGCTACTGACGGTGTACGTGAGACGGATGAGCTGCATGCGTTTGAAGGTATATCCGATAAAACAGCTATTTTTGAAATTGAGACAAGACTCCCACAAGACATCGCGGAACGGACGAGAATATTGAACACCTGATTTTGGTATTCGTTTTTGCCAACAAAATAGCTTAATTCTAATTCGGAAAAGGGATCAGAACAAGCCATAGCCGAACGGACGGGAATATTTAACACCTGAAATATTGAATTCATTGCTAACCAACAAAGAAGTACTGATCACCAAAAATACTAGAAGAAGCTAATTCTGGTTTGAAAATAGGAATAGAACAAGCAACCGATTTTCTTCTGGGCTGTATGCTGGCACACAATCCTTCTACAATTTGGGACTAGAAACTACCGTAGACGCAGTTTAAAAATTCAAAACCACACTTTCAATCTTAACTATATGTAAGACCATAGTGGTACATTTAGTGGTATTTATACATTTAAGTACATTTGTACTTGCACAGCAATACAATACGCTTTACTATTACACTATAGTGGTCTAAGTTGGTCCGATTCGATACCAGTCACTATGACACACCATATTCCAGATCCAAAAGTATTCGTTGAACTCAGTGCTGCCTGAAAAGCCGTCCACAGCTCTCAATTTGATATCTTCCGGATCCAATCCTTTTTCTGGATCCAAGGACATCTGTCTCAGCCAACAATCCAAATTGGAAGCTACGTTCGATGGCATACTCAAGGTGCCCCATAGCCGCGCCCGCGGTAATTGGGGGCAATCTGAACAGACATGTGTACAGATACGTACAAAGGATTAAAGATCAAGTATTATATAAATAAACATATACATATAT